TATTATCATCGAAACTAAAGATATTGATTCGCATATTATTCAGTCTTTCGACGGCTGGAATTTTGTCACCAGAATAGGACACTGGATGCTACCTAATTTTACATCGGCTATACATGGAGTGTAATGTTTATTTCTTTCTGGCCTGTTCTTACAGTAAATCTTCATTTTATCTGCACATGCAAAGCATTTCCAGTATACGTTCTGAACATTTAAAAATACTTTCTTCTGAGCCAGTGTAGAAACTATAATGCACCAGATGGCGCTGTGTGCGCTTGAATTCTTCAGACTAGTGCAGAACCTTGATGATAGCGAAAGATGTAACACCAACGCGAAACATTAACCAAAGTTTATCTGTGCCTCTCTTTGCTGTAAATGTATTTAATTGTGTCGTCAATAAAATATAGAGAAAATGATCAAAGTCGAGAATTCGTCCGACAGGTAAGTGAGATTTCTTTATATTTTGATTTGAATTGAGTTTTAGCGACAAAGAATGTATATGAGTATTTACAAATCGTTTTAGTGCCGATAATCCTGGAGAGACCTTTAGATAAAGTAAATTGCGAAGTGAATACTGAAAACGTATTTAGCAAATTGAATAATTTAAATTGTTATGGTGGATATAGAAGCTTTAAAAAAGATTAGAGCATCTGTCAGACGCGCGGCAATTGACACTATGAAACTGTTAGAAACTGAAATAAACAAACAGGAAAGATCAGTTGATTTAATTGATGAACCTTTAGCCAAACTTTTAGATCAAGAAGCTAATTTAAAGTATCTTAACGAGGAAATTCTAAAACTGTGCAAAACGGAAGAAATAGAAAAGGAAATTGTAAAACAGCAAGAATATAAAGATAATATATTATTACTTGGAAAGTTCGCGTGAATAGAATCCTTAATACGAAAGAAAGCGAAGTTGTTAGCGAAACTGAAAGAACGAATGTTGTAGAAACCAGAAGTGAGCAGCAGAATACAGTAAAACTTCCTCGCTTGCAGATACCTCAATAAGATGGCAATATATTAAAGTTTAATAACTGAGAATTAAACTGAGAATAAAATTCGTAAAATTTTATTCTCAGTTTGAAGTAGCTATCCATAAAAATGTGAATCTTAGTAATGTAGAGAAGTTTAGTTATTTAAAATCGTACTTAACAGACGAAGCTGAGGTAGCTCTACTAGGTTTAGCATTAAGCTCTGAAAACTATGAAATTGCTTTGAACTTATTAAAAGAACGCTTTGGTCGAAAAGATATTATTATCGATGCGCATATCGCAAGACTTTTAAACTTAAGTCCAGTACGAAAATCATATGACATTGTAGCGATGCGTAGACTTTACTCAATGCGAAACACATATTCGAGGATTAGAAAATAACGGAATTAATCCTAATAGCTACAGTTGTCTATTGTATCCAGTGTTATTAAAATCGATACCCAAAGATTTGTCCTTAGAATTTTCTCTTAAAACACATTCGGAAGGTGAAAACAAAATATCTGATTTATTGGAATTTTTAAAGATTGAAATTCAGTGTCGTGAACGTAACGAGTACTTAAGTAGAGACTTTAATTTAAACATTTAATTTATTCGCGTCGACGGTCTGACGAGACTCCAGAGCGGAGGAAGAAGACTAAACATTGGGTTGATCGCAAATCAATTCGTGATGCATAAAACGCTTACAAATTCCACAAATAGATTTCCTTTGACACTGCTTATATACGTGCCCCTTCGAAAGGCAAGCATAACATATACCATATTTTCTAAGAATTAATTTTCTCTGTTCTACCGATAAGGGACAAGAGGTAGAATCGTGCTCTATTTTCGGTTTCGTACAAAATATACAATTTTCTACATCAACAATGAATGAAGAAGTAGTAGAAATGTTCGAATTTAATTTATTTTTCCCGCTATAATCAATCTTGGTTTTATTAAATCTCCCATACGTTTGATTAGGTTTTTGTAAAGGATTAAATTTAGTTTCAATCGCGAATCTGAAGTGTTTAAATTAAAGTCTTCTACTTAAGTACTCATTTCGTTCACGACACTGAATTTTAATCTTTAAAAATTCCAGTAAATCAGATATTTTATTTTCATCTTCTGAATGTATTTTACGAGAAAATTCTAAGGACAAATCCTTGGGTATCGATCTTAACAACACTGGATACAATGGACAGCTGTAACTATTAGGATTAATTCCGATATTTTCTAAACCTCGAATATGTGTTTCGCATTCTGAGTAAAGTCTACGCAACGCTACATTGTCATATGATTTTCGTTACTGGACTTAAGTTTAAAAGTCTTGCCATATGCGCATCTATAATGATATCTTTTCGACCAAAGCGTTCTTTTAATATGTTCAAGGCAATTTCATAGTTTTCAGAGCTTAATGCTAAACCACGTAGACCTACCTCAGCTTCGTCTGTTAAGTACGACTTTAAATAATTCAGCTTCTCTACATTACTAAGATTCACATTGTTATGGATAGCTACTTCAAACTGAGAATAAAATTCGTTAAACTCTAAAATATTGCCATCGTATTGAGGTATCTGCAAGCGACGAAGTTTTACTGTATTCTGCTGCTCACTTCTGGTTTCTACAACAATCGTTCTTTCAGTTTCTCGAACAACTTCGCTTTCTTTTGTTTTCAGGATTCTATTCGCGCGAACTTTCCAAATAATAAATTATATCTTTATATCTTGCTGTTTTTTCAATTTCCTTTTCTATTTCTTCCTTTTTGCACAGTTTTAGAATTTCCTCGTTAAGATACTTTAAATTAGCTTCTTTATCTAAAAGTTTCGCTAAAAGTTCATCAATTAAATCAACTGATCTTTCTTGTTTGTTTATTTCAGTTTCTAACAGTTTCATAGTGTCAATTGCCGCACGTCTGACAGGTGCTCTAATCTTTTTTAAAGCTTCTATATCCACCATAACAATTTAAATTATTCAATTCGCTAAATACGTTTTTCAGTATTCACTTCGCAATTTACTTTATCTGAAGGTCTCTCCAGGATTATCGGCACCAAAAAGATTTGTAAATACTCATATACATTCTTTGTCGCTCTAAAACTCATTCAAATCAAATATAAAGAAATCTCACTTACCTGTCAGACGCATTCTCGACTTTTATCATTTTCTTTATATTTTATTGACGACACAATTAAATACATTTACAACAAAGAGAGGGTACAGAGCACGATTCTACCTCTTGTCTCTTATCGGTAGAACAGAGAAAATTAATTCTTAGAAAATATGGTATATGTTATGCTTGCTTTTCGAAGGGGCACGTGTATAAGCAGTGTCAAAAGAAATTTATTTGTGGAATTTGTAAACGTTTTATGCATCAAGAATTGATTTGCGATCAACCCAATGTTTATTCTTCTTCCTCTGCTCTGGAGTCTCGTCAGACCGTCGACGCGAATAAATTAAATTTTGTGTCTTCCGTAGAATGTGTGAATGAATCCGATGAATGCGACATACTACTTGAAACTTGCTCAGCAGTATTAATAGGCGGTAATAAAAGCAAAGAGATTAATATTTTGTCAGATAATGCGTCACAGAAATGTTTTTTGAGAAAAGAAGTAGCCGTAGAAATGAAACTACCCATAATATTAGACAAGAAAGTCTAGCTGTTTACACTTTCGACTGTAGAGTGTCAATACAAAAAACGTATGACGTAGTTCGGTTTTCACTTTGTAATTTATGTGATTCGGACAAGAAAATAACGATTGAAGCACTTTTGACTGACTGTATTTCTGGATCGCAGTTTAAAGTATCACATAATAAATTAATGCAAATACTTTCGAGGAAGAACATGCAGTAGTCAAACTTAAGTAAATCGTCAGGAAATGAATTGTCTCCGCTTATTGGAGCACAGTATTTTTGGGATATTCATATGGGAGAAAAACAGCGATTAAACAAATCTTTGTATTTGATTGATACTCTGTTTGGAAGGGTTGTTCAAGGTCGAATCCCTCCATCAGATTTAAATGCGAATCGGGAAATTTCTATTATGAAAATTGAATGTTGCACCACATTAAATAAAAACTTAACGCAGTTTTGGCAGTTAGATTCAATGTGGATAGAGGAATTTATTTCTCAATTCGAAAGTAATTTAAAATATGAAAATGGAATATATACAAGTAAATTATTCTGGGACGGTAAACCAGACAACTTGTCTAACAATTTCGCGGTAGCAAAACTAAGATTTCGTAACTTAAGTGTAAAATTGAAAGAAAATGATTGGATTTATAATGAATATAAGAATATAGTTAAGGAACAATTAAAACTGAATATCGTTGAAGAATATTTCGGCTTAGAAGAGAATTCTTGTTATATGCCTCATTCAGCTGTAGTAAGATCGGATAGGAACACTACGAAAGTCAGATTGGTTTTCGATGCATCGTCAAAAGGTAATGGGTGCAAATCTCTTAATGAATGCTTAAATCCTGGGCCACCGTTGAATCCCAAAATTTTGTCTTGCGATTTCGCGAATATGAATATGCATTCAGCTGTGATATTCAGGGAGCATTTTTGACCATAGGAATAGCGGAAGAGGATAGAGACTATTTACGTTTTTTTTTCTGGTTTCCAGATGAAAGTGATTCAAAAACTTACAAAATTTTACGAATGACTCGCGTTCCCTTTGGAGTGACATCAAGCCCATTTATCCTTGCTGCGACTATTAAATACCACATTAGAAAATATAAACTTGAACAAAGCGAAACTTGTGAAATGCTTGACTCGGCACTTTATGTAGATGATCTTTTTTACGGAGCAAATACAATAGAGAAAACTTTAGAACTTTCACAGAGCGCTGTAAAAATTCTTAAAGATGCGAACATGAATTTAAGAAAATTTAATACTAATTCGGATGAGTTGAGAAATTTATGGAGTGAACGAGGTTTGTCTGATTTGACAGAAACTAAAGAACGTCCTTTGAAGGTTTTAGGCATAATATGGAACACCGAAGAAGATACTTTTAAGTTAGATGTAAAACCTCTACTGGACATGACCTGTGATAGGAAGAATTCAAAACGTAGTGTACTTCAGACAGCTTCGAAGTTATTTGATCCTATGGGAATTGCATCACCTTTTATTGTTCTCATAAAATTATTAATGCAAGAAATATGGGAACTTGGTTTAGGATGGGATGATGAGCTATCAACTGACTTGAAGAAAAAATGGGATAATTGGTGCTCTCAGATTTATCTGTTGAAAGATTTGACAATCGAAAGAAAATATTTCTCCATACCATGGAAGTTGGTGAAAGAATTAGAACTACACATATTTTCTGACGCTTCTCCTAAAGCTTTCGGAGCAGTTGCGTACTTCCGTTACGTGTCAAGTGATGATTGTATTTATACAAGTTTTATCACTGCGAAATCTAGAATCGCACCGCTTAAAAGGTTGACATTACCGAGGCTTGAACTTATGGGAGCTGTTATTTCTTCTAGACTTTTCCAATATTTGAAAACAAATTTTAAATTTCCTGTGCCTAGGGTATATATGTGGACAGATTCCTTAATCGCTCTTCATTGGATTAAAGGGAAAGCTTCAAAATGGAAACCTTTTGTATCGAACCGTGTATCCGAAATCCAGTCTAGAACTGATCCTGCTGATTGGAATCACTGTAGTGGGCAGGATAATCCTGCAGATTTCATATCTCGAGGAGCTACCGTGGAAAAGTTTATGTCCAGTTCGATTTGGATGCAAGGTCCAGAATGGCTTCGGTTGAAGAAAAGGGATTGGCCAAAAGGCTCTAATTATGAAATTTGTCTAGAGATTTCTCCAGAAGTATATTGCGAAAAAAGAAGTAAACTGGAAGAAGTATCGTCTTTTGTGTGCGAAGTGCAATCGAATTTGACACATTTAATGGATTTGAATAGATATAGTAGTTTAAGAAAATTATACCGTGTTACAAGTTGGATACTACGATTTATATACAACCTTAAATTTAAAACTAAACGATGTGGTGAACTAAGCACTGAAGAACTTAACGAGGCTGAAATTATCTGGACAAAAACTGTTCAAAGTGAAGCTTTTGCGGAAGAGCTGTCCTCTTTGAGACAGGGTAAAACAATTTCTAAGACTTCCTCTATTCTAGAACTGAATCCCTTTCTTAATAATGACGGGATAATGCATGTTGGTGGAAGACTTCAGAAGTCAAGACTTTCTTACCTTCAAAGACACCCAATTATTATGCCCTCAAAACATCACTTTGTGAATTTATTAGTGTGGGATGCACACAGCAAAGTGTTTCACGGTGGAATTTCTGAAACTTTGATAGAAATACGCGAAAGATACTGGATAATTAAAGGAAGACAAACTGTTAAAAATATCTTAAGAAAATGTATTCTGTGTAAACGATTTAATTCTTCTCCTGGTGTGCAAGTTACTGCTCCTTTACCAGTAAATAGAACAGAAGAATTACCTCCTTTTTCTGTAGTAGGTATAGATTTCGGTGAACCACTTTATACCAAAGACAGTGATGAGAAAAAACTACATCGTGTTGTTTACTTGTGGAGTAACGCGAGCTCTTCATTTAGAGTTTGTTGGTAGCATGACCACAGAAACATTTCTTCTTGCTTTTCGACGATTCATTGCTCGTCGAGGTCTATGTTCTCAAGTTTTGACGGACAATGCCAAAACTTTCAAACGATCAGAACTTGAACTTAAAAATTTGTGGACTGTCATTAGTCATCCAACAGTAAAAGACTTTTACGCCTCCCACAAAATCCAATGGTGCTACATCGCTGAGAAAGCTGCGTGGTGGGGTGGCTTCTATGAAAGACTAATTAAATCTGTAAAACTTGCTTTACGAAAAACTCTAAGAAAAACCACTTTATCTCGAGACGAGTTAGAAACTCTAATTATTGAAATTGAAGGTGTTCTTAACTCTCGTCCTTTAACTTATGTTTATTCTGAATTACAGGAACCTATGCCTCTAACTCCAGCTCATATGCTATTGGGGCGCAGAGTGAATAGTTTGCCTCCTGCCAGGCTTCATTTTGATTCTAATTTAGTTAATAGGAAAATGCTAATTAAAAGATTTAATTATCGAGAAAGATTGGTAAGTATGTTTTGGAATAAATGGAAAAATGAATACTTATTAATGCTGAGATCTGTTCATTGTGTTAAACCTTCAGGTAAAATTACTGAATTTAAAGTTAATGATATTGTATTAATTCATGATGAAAAGCTACCTAGACATTTTTGGAAATTAGGAAGAGTTGTAACAGTATTTCCTGGCAGAGATGGAAAAGTAAGGTCTTGTGAAATTAAAACAGGTACATCAGTTATTAAAAGACCTGTGCAGCTTTTATATAATCTTGAAATAAATGAATAAATTTAATTGTTTATTATATGTTTATTAATCTGTATTATTGTTACAGGACTATTCCATATATGATGAAGTTAATTTATGTACAGGTATTGAGTTGCCTTATTTCTTTTCTTATGGGTAGGGTACGAACTGCGCCAAATTTGATCGAAAATCCCCGTCCCCCTCTTTTTTAATCCATGAACTGCGCGAAGTTTCCTGTCCCCCATTTCTTTCCAAGAAGATTGGGTGCTACAAAAAGTCGTTTATCGCCATTAATGGTACATTCTATTGAGACTGCAAGTCTTTATTTTCGTTTATCAATATTGTAAAAATTGTGCATGTAAAACAAATATTAATTTAAAGTCTGGCGTGTGCTAAAAAAATCTTTTACACTCATTTTAAAGTTTTATGATGCTTAAAGGAATGATGGGCTAGATCTCTTTTATTCTCTGTAAGCATTAAAAACTTTCTAAATTGTGGATTTTAGTCGCTGATATATGTTTTGAATAGTAAAATTGATAGATTAATGACATACACAAAACTGATACATAATCAACGTATCAAATATCGGATTTGTAGCTCACCTTAAATAAGTTTCTTGTCTAGATAAATATTAACAAATCTTCTTAGATAGCAGAATGGTTTTAACTTTCAAATTTACCATTTTAGGTAAACAGTTCTAATTTAATTATAAAAATTATCTTTATTAAATCTAAAAATTGGACTTCTTAAGTCGTTCTAAATTCACACTAATATTATTGCAATATATTCCCGTATTAAGCTTTCCATTTTTAATCATTGAAGTTATTTTAAGGTTATTTAACTTTGTTACAAATTCCATATTTTAATACTAGAAACGTTTAAATATTTATTCTGTTTTCCACCTGATGTACTTTGGCATACATTTAATTTCTAATACACATTTAATTAATAAATTGATAATTATGAGCGTCATCAGAATTTTTATAATTAACAAAAAAAAAAAAAAAATTCAAACTCCCTTATATTCATATCCTGGGATTTTCAGTCTCCCTTTTAATCCATTCCTTTTTCACATATTGTTGCACTGTACTCAAGTTTTCATGTATGTAAAATTTATATAATTTGTATTGTATTTATGCCAATTTATATTTAAATGATAATTTTTACAAATTCTTGCTTCATAACTCTAGTTAACAGAAGATGTTTTGTTTTCTAACACCTTGGCAAAGCTTAATCTTCAGCATGTAGCTTATTTTCTAACCTAGTTTCAGGCTGAATTATTTGTAAAATTAGTTACTTGAAATTATTTGTTAACAAAGATGGTCGCTAAATCACGCTAATAATATTTCTAACTGTTGTAATTTATAATGCAACGAGTTCATACGATTTATAATATAATTCATTTATAATTTTTTCAGCAGTATTGAAATTAATAGCAGATACTGATAATGTTATACATTTAGATTACAATGATTTAGATTGCCATTGCCTTCTTCACTCATGCTTTTATGCTACTTCCTAATATTTCATAATGGCATACAGGTAAGTTTAACTTATTCATTAAACATGTAAATCTCTAATTCAGCCCACTTTTGTTCTTACGTGTGCTGTATCTTCTATTTTCTTTAATATATTGTTCAGCCTAATTTCAAAAGGTCTTATGATCAAGCGGAAAAGTCACTAAACATTGGTAGTTCGACCCGAGTTTCTAGTCCCAGTGATCCCCTAGCTCTTTCTTTTTTTGTACTTATTTACTGTGTAAAAATGTATAGTAAAAATTTCAGTTCATGAAGTAAAAATACTTTTAAAATTTATTCTTTAAAAATATTGCAAAATTTTTCACCTTAGCGTATCTTTTTACAAATCCCTCTGATAAGAAAAAGTAAGGAAAGAAATTAACTTGGTTTCGGTGATTGATACCTCAGTGCAAATTATGTGTAACTTTTTCCAAAAGCATAGAGTTTATATGGATATAAATAAATTATGGATTATTTCTCATCTAATTTTCTTAACATTTTTATTCCAGAATTTTCCTTTCACACTGTAGTGTTTAACTTTATGCGTTTTTTTATAATAATTTACATTTGTTTATAATTTTACGCGAATGAAAGTGATTATTTAATTGTATAAGCTTTGCTGAAAGATAAAAGAGAAAACAAAATTCTATCACTTGCGGTCAAGAGAGTGTTTGATGTAATAATTCTTATATATTTTTCTTTGATAGTTTTTATTTAATTTCTTTCATTTATGCATTACTACATAGTTCTTTTCAAAAATATTTTTCTGTGCCGCTATGTCCGTATTTCAGTTTCAAGGAATGCGTGCTCCGTGTAGGGTATATAATGCTTAATAAACTTATGATATGAAAGAGATCTAAATAAACTTATGATATGAAAGAGATCTAAATTCTCTTCTCATTTCTACTGTATTTTTTAAATTTCAACCCCTAAGAAATTTACTCTAGAAATCGTTTTCATGATTTAATATTTTATACTTATTTATTTATTTTATTCATACTTTAGCATTTTCTTTAAGTTTATTCTTTATCATGCTAACCTGTTTTTAAATATTTTTCTCAATACTTTTGTAATTTAAAATTATTACATTTATTATGATATTTAACATTAATTTGTTTGAATACAATGGATTGCAATAATTAACTTACAATTTTTGGGTAACATGAAACACGTCTTAGGAATTCTAATCGTGAAATCATTCCATACCTGTTTGCGTAATTCCTGTTTGTTATTTTTTTATGCTGCTTCACACCATTTATTGCAGCGTATATATCTATCTGAATTTGCGAATTACATCTGTGAAGATAAATATATTAGGATGGGAATGATAAAAATTCGCTCTGAATTTTGAATGAAATGCTTCACATGCATTAGTTGTTCTTTCCGATGAAATATCAGCGCAAGCCCAAATTATCAGGGGAAATTTTGCATCCTCATCTAGATAATTCTCGGTTATGTAATCAGTAAAGCGTGTGATGTTTGCTCTGACATCAGATCTTCAACGAAGCTATCCGAAACTTCAGTAGCATCCAAAAAGGGTAATCCAAATACCAGTCGAAGCCATCTGCCAATTTCTGAATTACCATTCCTATATTGTTGCTGCAATCCGCACTGTTGAAGTTTTCGCCACCAAGCTTAGTCAAGTGGAATCTACATCCTGTAATAGAACATTCAGGCCACATTTTTCTCACAGCTTCATGGATTGCATATTCAAAATCTGCCACCACAATTTCTGGCTGAAAATTCAAATGCAAGTTAGAACAGAGTTCTTTCAGTTTTTGAAACATACTTTCGTATATTGCCGTAGACTTTCCTGGTAGCAAAAAAAAAAAAATACAAGTGGGGTATAATGTCCATTTTCCACTGTATGAAACGTAAACATCTGAAAGAAAAATTTTGGGCAAAATGTGAAAGTGCCATCAACAAAAAACCTTTTTCTTTGTCACATAAGATCCTTAAATTTGAATCTGTTGAAAAACAAACTATATTATTTCTATCGTCATTAATCTGAAGAAGATTTTCATGTCGATAAGATATCACTTGCAGTACACTTGCAGCGAATTAAGTCTGCTTTCAGAAAGAAGCATGCTGAATTCGCAAAATAAAAAGAAGGCGTTATCTTGTTTGCCGAAGCTAGTTCTCTAGATTGGCAATCCACTATTTATTTAAAAATATTTTTTTTATTATTTCCTCTCGCACAGTGGCTCGAAAAATAAATTGTACCCTGTACGCAACGGGGGAAAGAAATTGTGATCGGCGCAGTTGGACTATAGCAGGACGAGGGAGGGATTTTCATCAGCGCAGTTGGAGTACACCCCTTATTGCAGGTAACTTTACAAATTGTTTAAAAATGAATGATTTGTTTATATAGTAAATACGTGTAGTTTCTTTAATATGTGAATTGATTGAACTTTACATTGTAAAAGTTTCTTTTGTTAAATTTGTATTAATGTAAGTGTTTGAATGAAAACCTGTTCATTCGGGGGGCAGTCTGTAGAAACTATAATGCACCAGATGGCGCTGTGTGCGCTTGAATTCTTCAGACTAGTGCAGAACCTTGATGATAGCGGAAGATGTAACACCAACGCGAAACATTAACCAAAGTTTATCTGTGCTTCTCTTTGTTGTAAATGTATTTAATTGTGTCGTCAATAAAATGTAGAGAAAATGATAAAAGTCGAGAATGCGTCTGACAGGTAAGTGAGATTTCTTTATATTTTGATTTGAATTGAGTTTTA